TTCTGTCGATTGATAATACAATGAGTAGTATCATTTGAAATCAACGAATTTAGTATGGAATCTACTATATTTATAGAAAAAAAAAAACTCTTAAAATAATATATATTGAGTAAAATTTTAGACAAAATATTTTTTATGGGAAATATTCTATCGATTGCTTGCTGTGGGAGAAAAAGAACATCGAAAAGCAGTAATGAATCTTATCTGAACACGAAAAACCAATCGTCATCATCAACCAGTAGTTTCTATCGTGCCTGTCGGGACGGTGACTCTGATCAAGTACAGCAACTATTAACTTCAATGTCACTCGATGACATCAATAAACTAGAACCGAATGGAAGTACAGCTTTACATGTTGCATGTTATTATGGTCATTATGATATTGTTAAGATGCTCTTAGATGCAGGTGCATCTCGTTCCATACGCAATCGACAGTTCAGTTTAACTGCATTTGAGGAAGCACATACCGACCAAATTCGAAGATTGTTTTATCGTGTGAATAATACAAATAATATAATATCTGATGTAGACAACGATCGTTTTACCGGATTATCTGGACATACAGAATGGGTAGTGGAGTCTAAACAGGCAGCAGATTGGAAGATCAATCTCTATAAATGGCTAAAACTTGAACAATCTTTCGATGAAGTGATTGCTTTTCTCAATGAGCATTACATAGATGATTATGTGGCTCGAGCATGCAATTCTGATCAGGATAAGCAAGTGATTCAATGGTTCTTTCGTCAAGCGGCTTTAGAGCAAAATGCTCAATATATTGTAAAAGCATACACGTCTGTCACTCAATTTTATACTATAGTTAATACTCATATGGCTAAATTTCTGTTGCGGTTCTTTCGTTGGAACTATGATGCACGACACGCTAACACATTGGAGAAATCTGTCGGTTATTTAGCTTCCATATTTATATATCATCCCGATTTACGTTCTCTCAGTTATACAGGTACAACTTACAGAGGAATGATACTTAGTCAACATGATCTTTCTATTTACAATGTTGGCAAGCGATTATTGAATAAATCATTTCTTTCAACATCACTTGCTCGTCATATAGCTGAGTTATTTGCTGGAGCTGGTAATTCAAAATCTATGCGACGAAATTTAAATCATGAGCTTATCCAATATATGACACTTTGCATCTATAACATCAGAAATCCAGATACAGCATTACAAATTGGAACAATTTCCGAAGTACCATTAGAACAAGAAGTACTTATAATGCCATTGTGTGCTTTTCAAATCAAATCGATTAGAAAAAACTTAGGCAACGAAAGCAATATTGATGTTGAAATAGAACTGGAAGAGTGCATTTGTAGTGACTTTGATGATATTAATCAATCAACAGAATGTGTGCCTAAGAGCCCAGATTCACGAATAGTATGCTAGGTTGAGCTTATTGTTTCATATTGTTCTCTTTTTTTTTCAATAATAAACAATTCAATTTGTGTAGTGATACAAATAAATGCTTATATTCTGAATATGAGTGAAGTATACAAATTGTCAATTTAAAAATAAGTAGAAGTCTTTGATTACCTTGATTGATATGTATGAGTATATTTATTATTCGCATTTTTCTCATTTGATTCACACAAAGTACTTCCAGTCAAAACTGAAAATATTCGCTTTTTCTCTGAAAGTATCCACAGCGAAAATATTCTATTTTCCCAAAAGAAAAGTGCATTTATAATTCAATGCGCTGTAACGACTCGAGATAAAAACTGACAGCAACAATAAATGCAAGAATTTCTTAATCATCTCTTCTGGTAATTTAATAATCAATCAATTTCAACAAACGATTAGATAGTTCTATTCGAAATTACATCTGTTCTTTTATTTCTGGCGAGATACTGAGCCAGAAAAACTCATGTGAACTATCAACATTAGTCTGAATCATGATACAAATAACTGACTTGTAACAGAACGATTTCTCCTGATAGAACAAAAAAATCGGAATCACAAAAGTATTCATAATAAGTCGAACACAACTATATGTGCATAGAAGTGAAAATACGAGAAGGACGGTTTTAGGATTTGATTTTTAAACTGGCAGAGAATTGCATATTATCAAAAAATGACTTTCTAAGAAAATTTCTTCGATTAGATGCTATTATGAACAATTTTCGAAATCGTTTATCTATTTCTTTTCTGATAAAAACTTCTTACACACAAAGTATCTTCAAGTTCACAATCAATGCTGTTTGTTTTTTATCAAAAGATCGGACAATATTATCGAATCAAATTGATATATGAAGTGGTATGGTACTAAGTCAGTGAAAATCATAGCAGTAGTTTATTCTCTAGGAAAAATTCAAGCTAATAACGATTAGATTGATCGATCTATATCAATATTCCATTCTTTGTTCAACTTGCAGAAGCTATATGAAAAATTCAATAAGAGCAAGAACTTCACGTTTCCTTGCCAATTTGAGTCCATGACAAGTTTCAGTAATATTATCACTAAAATATGATTTCTATAATCAATAGATCACGAAAGAAGTAGGCAGATAGACAGATAGGTATAGAGCACAGGCGGGATTGAAGAAGATTACCACATGAATAGGTAAATAGATAGATTGACTAATAAATACTATCTATCTATTTATTTACCCATCTTCTAGCAATCGTAACAAAGTCTTCGATCATATCAATGATAGTATCATAGAAAAGTATTATGCATTGTAACATTTTTTCTTTCACAAGGAACAGGACACTCGCAACTTTCAAAAGGGTTTGCCGCCTCTCTTATTGTCAGTCACTGTTCTTCGATGAGTCTTTGATAGTTCGCCAACTTTCGTTTTACAGGTGTAACGGTCGAGATATCAATGAACAGATAACATCATCCTCATCATCATTACACACATATTTACACAGAATGTTAGTATTTCATCATGTAATAATCGCACTGTTCTCTCGAAATTCATACGTATAGTCTTGTATATCTTACTACATTTGTCTGTGTAGGACAATTTCTACTTGAAGCTCTCAATAAATTCTTGAACTTAAGAAAGTGCATTCAGATGTGTTAGATCAATATCTAGTATTTCTTCAGTAAATCTGAATTGAGCATTTTCACAGTTTGTTAGTCAAATTAATAAATTCATCAAATTTCAAAACATGCCAAGAAATACAATTTAACACAGCTTATATTTTCCTCACAATCACCAACTATGCATAGTATTAGAAGCTACCAAAAGCCCACGAAATGCAGTTATTATTAATCATAATAAATCCATGGCAATCTTTATAAACCCTGGAAATCATCAAAAAAACAGTTCGTTTCTCGTCATGTTGAATATAGGTTTATCATAATCAAAGTTCATTTTGTACTGTGTTAGACATCTCATATTTTTATAGCAGTATGGATGAGTACAGGCAGTTGATCAAGATGATAAGAGCTGTTTCGTTCGATAAAGAAACAAACATGCTTCAAAATTGTTTCATACTGATGATTATAATATATTTAAAACTTGTGATTATTTTGAAATTTAACAAAAGAATGAGACATTTAGAGTTGAATAAAATGTCTATTGACACAAAGGGATAGCTAAGAGCTTATAATACAAGATATTAAGAATTTTTAAGCATCGAAAGAAGAGAGGATACCGATCAAAATTTTGCACTTCCATTGCAATAAATGACATTATTTAAGAATGATCATCACAGCTCGGATGAATCGTTCGATTTGAACAACATTCGGATGTTGAGATGGCAAAGAATGATGAAATAAATTGGATGCTTTTTGCCAATATACTAGCGCTTTCTGATATTGGTTCTTGTACGCAAACACATTACCTAGATTTTGGTAGGTCGATGCAATATCTGGGTGTTGAGGAGCAAGTGACTTGAAGTAAATGTTTAATGACAGGATAAAGTAGTCCAATGCGAGATCATAGTGACCAGTCGCCGATGTATGACACCTATGTTGTTATATGTTCTGCCCAAATCAGGATGATCACTAGGTAAGTACTTCGGTTCAATAGCTAGGGACTTTTCATAGAAGTTAATCGCCGATGAATAATTCATTTGTTTTTCGTAGACGACACCAATATTGTTGTAAAACCAAGCCACTCTCAGATGTTCCCTGGCATGTACTTGTTCAAAAAGTGACACCGCCTTGTTGAAAAATTTCAATGCTAGTTTATAATTACTTCTAATGAGATGAACGACACCGATACTATTATATGTTTTGCTCAAGATGTCATGATCAGATGACGAACTATTTAAATTGATTTCAAGTAATTTACTTAGCCATTCAAGACTCGTATCATAGTTACCTTTGTCAATGGCTAAAACGCCAATATTATGATATAAAACCCCAAACAGAGGATCATTTGAAGGTAGTCTATTAAAAAAATTGTCATAGAGCTTTTCGGCTTCCTGAATTTTGCCTGTTTTCCTCAACAAGATACCCAAAGCACGAAGATTCGTTTCACTTTTTTTGTACTCATTCTTCATATACTCCAAAAGTGTTTTTGAATTGTACTCATCGTCACATAGTGTCATTTGAATAAGCCATACTTGCTCATGATTGTAGCAAATACTAGTCACACGAAAAACAGAACCTGGTAGAAAGAGTACTTCTGACTCGTTTGAAAAAGCACTATACGATGTGATGTCAGCAAATGATGTTGCAGATGTAGAAGGATCAGCATTGATCTCGAATAGTACTCGTTGCAATCCATCAGGAGAATTTGAACTGCCTAGGAAGAAGATGGCTAATTGTCGGTCGAAACTAGTTGACAGAAATGAACTGATGGATACAAACTGTCCGATTGATATCTTCAAATCATTCAATTCATCAACTGACATCAACTGACCTCGCCACACTTGAATTTTAGATTTGCACTGGTATCGCTTCAGTTGTTGATGAATATCACAAAGAATCGGGCAAAATAGTACAAGTAAACTAATGTTTTGAACTCGTAAAGCCTTATTCAGCATTCTATATAAGAAGCACTCGCGAGTATACCACCACAATGCATTTGACGACGAATAGTTGATTTCAAATTCATGAAGAATGTCAAGTTGGGTTTGATTACCTTCATAGATTTTCTTACAGAGAGAAATAAGATCATCAAAGTTTCTCGCACTGAATGTCATTCGAAGAAGACAATCGATGATAAGTTGAGATTGAATAAATTGACCATTAAGTTTGAGCATCGATTGCTCGACGTCATTAGTCGTATTCCAAATATTGATTGATAATGGTTCTTCTACTTTGATTCGACGTTGATGATCCAGTTGAATCCGATGAATAAGATCATCGAATTCGAAAGTGACAGTCTTTATCTATAGAAATTTAGCATGCCAAAAAGCCATCATAAAACTACTTTACCTTCGTAAATTCTTTTGTCCATTGTTGATCTGGTTCTTGATCGAACCAGTAAACATAGATCGACAATAATTGTCTTTGATGGTGTATACGAGGCACTAATTCATAGCCAATATGATCACTGACTATGAGTACGATTCGATCTTCTTTTGTTAGTTGTTCAAAATATTGTTGGCACTTTTCACTATCTTCAAAAATTTTTAGTTGATTAATGATAGTCCGTAATTGTTGGTGCATATTTCTATATTTCTCGCTTTCGTTGACATCGATACCGAGCCAAATGAGACTGAATATTTCAAGGTTACTGCCATCAAACGATGCCATATTGGTCTATATAACGTGCCAATGACTCTTATATTTACTGTGCTCCACAATCCAAATGGCAAAATAAGCAGCTGATCGTTTGTATCCTTATCTTTATAAAGCTGAAATCAGTTACTGCTGAGAGCAGAAAAATAGAAGCGGTTCGCTTAATCGTTTATCAATTTTCTTTGACATCTATTCATATTTGATTCTTTTTAGTTTTATTTTTATGTATAAGTATTAAATATTTAAAACTCATACAGATAACTTGTAAAAGTCTTTTATCTACTAAAGAATGTCTGTTGTTCAGATATCGTACAGCTAATCGAATAGCGTATCCTGATAACATTCTATTCAGTACAACATAAACTACAAAAATATGAAACACAAACTATTGTATCACTGAATACTTTAATCTTTTTAAAATAGTCATGATCAACTAGAGTTGAATGCTATCAACTTTTTAAAATTTGTTCTATTATAACTAGTATGCAAATGTATCGCATTTTTTGACTTTCCTTCGAAAACTTACGAATACAAGTACAACATGTATGAATACTACCATATGTTGATGATTCCCACACAAAGATGAAGCTTGAGAAATGACTCAAGTTCTTCTATTGAGAAGAACAGATAAGAAAAAAATGTTTCGAGATGAGAAACGATTTTCATATTGAAACAATCTTCTTAAGTAGGCGAACATTTTATAAATCATCCTTTTAATGTGACCAAAGTCATCTAAGTTTACAAT